CGTATCTACTCGTCGAGTCCGGTCATTAATCCAGTCAAGAACTCGCGATCCTACTCGGCGAGTCTGAGCGTCTACTCGCCGAGTCCCTCCATAAAACCCAAAATAAATAACTAAAATAAGATACCTGGGAATCTGGATGTTACATAACAAACAAATTTTAATAATGGCCTCCAATCAAGCAACTTCTTCCAACACAGCTGCTCCGTCGAATACTCCACATCAATGGACGATAAGAGAGGTAATGGTGGTAACACGATGTTGGATGAACATTTACGATGATGTAACCATGGTTAACCCTGATTGCTTTGAAAGTAATGAATGGACCCGCATAACAGCTATGTTTAACCTCTCGTTGGGAGAAGGAAAACACCGAACACAAGAAGATATTGTTGGTAAGTGGATGGATTTAAAGGAAAAAATCACATGGTTCAATCGATGGTATCATCATCTTAAAAACAGGTGTCGTTATCCAAACAATGACGAAGATCTTTTAGAAATGGTTAAAGATCATTAAATTTTGGAGCACGAGGGAACTGACTTCGAGTATGAGTATGCATGGATTCTAGTTAAAAATAAAAAATATTTCATGTAGAAGGCACTTTTATGTGAAATGTCTTATGTAATGTTTCGTACGGGTGTATCTCTTTTCCAATAATGTTTTATGTTTGTGTTTTATTTTTCATGGAATAAAGTAGATTTAATTAATAATCTCAGAAGTGCAGTTTTATACAAACAATACAAATTACAAATATGTGAATTCATTACTTTCCTACATTAATCTAAGGACAATTTAAATCAAATGTGCTGTTGAAATCAAAAGTAGGGTACACGCTTTCGTTCTGTGACCCGCTTCCGGATGCAAATTCATCAATCATTATGCCCTTTTGTGTAGATTTTTTCCTCCCCCCATATCTGCTCCCCGATCCCCTACCCGTACAATCGTTCCTCGTGTGTCCAAATTGACCGCATGTAGAACATTCTTGTCGTATGGGATGCTCACCTTGCGACGGAATACGGCCAGTGTTTCTTGGCCTACTCGGCTGACGTCTCTCCATTATGGGTGGCTTCACGGTCATCAAATCATCCGGGATCTCCCACTCAGATGGACTTGGTAAGGGGTTCACAGACTCCTCGTAAGTTTTCCTCAATGTCTCTGTAAAGTAAGCTTTTAAAGCAAATTCCGAACAATCTTCATAACGGCTCATTGTTAGCACTTTTATGACATGGCCACAAGGTAAACCATCTATTTGCCACCGCCTACATGTACAGGTTCTTTGTTGGAAATCAATAATGACACTTTTGTGAGTAGAGCTTTTCACTTCAAATCTGTTATTTGAGATAGGGTACACCATCCAATTATTACAGGCATTCTTATTAGCTTGTATAATCGTTTCAGCCCATGGGGTGAGTGTTGTTTTTGTTCCAGCTAAAAAAATAGAAATAATTTCATAATATCATAAGAGTAGTAAAAATAACATTTCAAATACTATTATATATAAAATATTAGTACCTGTAACATTACGTTTCTGAAAACTCCATTGTTGCATTGTTGCACGAAAATACTCAATCAACATCAATATTGGCATCTTTCTTGCAAATCTTGACATTGAATTTATCGACTTCACACTATTTGATGTCATAAGAAAATACCGATTCCCAGGAAAATGTGCTCTAGCCCATCTTTCTGGATTGATGTTTTGTAGGTATTCCCATACACGATTATTTACATTTTTAATTTTTTTCATCCCATTATCGAATTTTTTAATAGTATACGCTTTGCATGTCTCCCAAAATAATGCATGTATTGTATCGCTGCTTCCAAATTTTGCTGAAATTTTGAAATACAAATGGATACCACATATTCCATGATGGGCGTGAGGAAATATATTTGCAATTGACGTCGCTATGGATGGAGCCCTATCATATATGATTGTAAGGTCTTCCAGTTTACCTATACATTCACGTAGTTTTCGAAGGAACCAGGACCACGTCTCCGTACATTCACTTTTGCATATGGCATAAGCAACAGACATGATTTGGTTTTGACCGTCCATTGTCACTGCGAGCAACATCGTACCTTTGAATTCACCCTTTAGGTGACCACCATCAATTATTAGGGTCGGCCTACAATATTTTATGAACGCTCGTACCTACAATTATTTTTGATTGCATTAACAAATACCAATTAGGATTCATATGTTATATTTGTTATAAAAATTATCACTGCTTACCGAGCAACCCAACGCGATAAACACGAACTCAAACCGATCATCATCGTCTGTTCTTATCTCAGTAACAGTTCCTGGATTGTGCTTCACCAAGTTGTGCAGATACGCTGGTAGTTTGGTGAATGAATCCTCTTTGGTACCTCTTAACATCAACAACGCATACTGTTTTTCCCGCCATGCCTGTTGGTATGAGATATTGATTGGAAATTTCGAATTGATGTCCCTCACAATTTCATTACCCGATAAACTCTATTATAATCTCCGGCCAATACTTCAGCGATAAAGTGCCCGAGTACCTTTTTCTTTGATTGTCGATGATTAGACTCCAAGTTTGTTGCGCAACAAGTGTGTTGGTCAACAACTTTTGTGACTTGGAAAGCAGTAGTCGATTTGATTCCCCTTGCCCTAACCATCCAAGAACAATTTTCTACCAAACAAACCACCTCGAACCTCTCTTTGCTCAATCTGGTAGTCTTATACTGCTTACCTTGTTCCATGCATTGTCTTCCAATTGCAAGCTTGAGCAACTCTTTGTCATAAAAAATGTCTAGAACCTTAATCTCTTCATTTATATCCACCCTCTGACATGGAATGTTCACATCATCGTTTACAGGACACGAAGGCAATAGGGGCATACCATGAAACATGGTATCTGAATAAATAAGTTTAGGTTCATCATCAAATTCTTATCCGTTAGAATTACTCTCTAGGCCGGATATATTCAACTTGTCACAATCCGCAAACTCGCCATATCCTTTTAGTTCACCATTATGCAAAAATGGAACGTCTTGTTTTGTAGATTCAATACCAACCTTATCCACCATGTCTAGTGCTTTTTTTTTGTCAAAGTTATGATTTACACCAACATCATTAACATATGTACCAACATCATTATCACCAATATACTTATAATTCTCCGGTGTAACATACATAATCGGTTCTGGCACTACAGGCACTACATTTACATTTTCAGCGACACTATGATATTGACTTTTACTTGGACTTTTAAAATTACATATTGGGTTGTTGCTCCCTTTTCCACTTGATAAATTAGCTGCAGATGTCTTTCCTCTATCATCCACTTCGTTACGCGATACGCCTTCTTCAACCACCACATAGACAGACACAGATTTATCTCCAACGGTATTTATTACCTTGATCAACTTTCTAATATCACGATCATTAACAATACCACAATAATAGAGTTGTTTTGGATGTTGATAAGCCAGACTGACTTTTGATTCTTCGGGAAGACCCATCTTGCACTTCACCAAATGAACAAATTCGGTGTACGTGGTGGTTTCGTCAAATTCAACACCGAAATAAAACCTTCTCGGATTGTATTCGGGTGGCCAAACATATGATAATTGAGAATTAACAAACTCTCATCTTCCATCCGTAATGAGTAATACGAAATACTCATTACAACTCATTATGTTAATTTTGAGAATAAAGAAACTAGAGAGAAGTGCAGTTTTCAAAATACGAAATAATTTCAAAAATATGAAATACTTAATATATATAGGGTAGATTCAAAATAGTAATCTACTCTGACAAAAAAGTAGTCAAGTTTAACAAAACAGTAGTCCACTCTGACAAAAAAATAGTCAAGTTTTACAAAACAGTAGTCCACTCTGACAAAAAAGTAGTCAAGTTTAGCAAAACTAGTTTTTATATTTTACAAAAAATATTTTTTAACAAAATAATTGTCAAAAAACAACTCTACATTTTATAAACAATATAATTGTTAAAATAATTCTACATCTTATAAACAATCTTTTTTAATACTCTATATCACAAAATAATAAGTTTTTTTTTTTTTTAAAGTCTAATGTTTTGAATTCTTAAATTTTTTTAACAAAATAATTGTTAAAATAATTCTACATCTTATAAAAAAAATAAAAATAAAATAAAAAAATAAAAATAAAAAAAATTAAAACCGTAGGTTTTTTCACAAAACAGTAGACGGAACCCCGAAAACAGTAGACTAAACAAAACTGTATTTTCCCCCAAAACCGTAGGCTACGGTTTGGGATACCGTAGCTTAACCGAGAGGAAACCATAGGTTTCACAAAACCTACGGTTTTGTAGCTTACAAATGAAAAAAAAAATTATACAAAACACGAAACAGTAGACGATTTTAGAAACCTACGGTTTCGTGGGCTATATTTGAACATTTACTAATTTTTGGCTAAAATTTGATAATCACTTTCTTAATTTGGCTAGATTAGTAATTAACCCTTGTTTCATTGTGACATGTTTTATAATAAAATATATTTTTATATTTTGTAAAGCGAGATAGTAAAGAGATAGTAAAGTGACAATATAGTATTTTCTTGACTTAGTTAACTATGAAAAAAACAAATACTTTTGAATTTCCCATCATGTTCGTTGAAAGTTACCTTATCAACATAATTTTTATTTGCAAGGTCCTATAATTCTTATTATTATAGCTGTTTGAAAACCATGAAATTAGTTTAAAAATGATATGAAATTGAAAAGTAAAAGCAAAGCGATCTAAAAAGTCAAATAAACACTTACAGGAAGGAAGGAGGGTGGTAGGTGTGAGCTTGACCCAACCACTCAGAAGCCATCGCCTCCTCCACCACGATATAAAAACAGCTTCCTTGCACTCTTTTCATCTCAGCTTGGCCAACAACAAGCTTCCATAACATCTTGTTCTTTTTCATAGCTTTTAGTCATTTCATTAGTTTTCTTTGTAATTCCATTCATTCTTGATCTGAAAAACAAATTAAGGGAGAAATATCAAATATGCAGTGTGTTGCTCCTTCATCGAGTATTGGGTTCAAGTCATTACACACGGTTTCCCACCGAATCGTTCAACCAACTCAGCTCACCGTTCAATGTGTTGCAAGCCGGTACGATGCCGGGTCAGCCAACGCTACTAATCTTCCCCTGTCAGCAGCAGCGCCGACCACCACCAACAACTTCGCATATGGAGGGGTTGTTAAGAGCAGAACCGATTGGCAGAGCTCGTGTGCGATTTTGGCTAGCAAGGTGGTGTCGCAGCAGCAGAACACCGAGAAATCCAACGGTGTTGATAATATAACTGTTGTCAGCGGACATACTAGTTTAGATCTAGTTCCGATTGATAAGTTACCGAAGCCGCTCACCATCGCCGATCTATCACCGGCGCCGTTGCACGGTTCGACGCTGCGCGTTGCCTATCAAGGTGTAGCTGGTGCGTATAGTGAAGCTGCCGCCGGTAAAGCTTATCCGAATTGTGAGGCCATTCCTTGTGATCAATTCGAGGTTGCATTTCAAGCGGTTGAGCTTTGGATTGCAGATCGCGCTGTTTTGCCGGTTGAAAACTCTCTAGGCGGGAGCATACATCGGAATTACGATCTACTTTTGCGCCATCGTCTCCACATCGTCGGAGAAGTCCAGCTCCCTGTTCACCACTGCCTTCTAGCTTTACCAGGCGTCCGGAAAGAATACCTCAACCGCGTGATTAGCCATCCGCAAGCTCTTTCTCAGTGCGAGCTAACTCTCACCAAACTCGGCTTAACCGTCACTCGCGAGGCTGTCGACGATACTGCAGGAGCAGCAGAATTCGTGGCGGCAAACAACCTCCGTGACACAGCGGCAATCGCATCTGCACGCGCCGCCGAGCTGTACGGCCTTAATATCCTGGCCGATGGGATCCAGGACGATTCAAGCAACGTCACACGATTCGTCATGCTTGCTCGTGAGCCAATCATACCACGAATCGACATCCCGTTCAAGACAAGCATTGTATTCGCTCACGACAAAGGAACGTCGGTGTTGTTCAAAGTTCTATCGGCGTTCGCATTCCGGAATATCAACTTAACCAAAATCGAAAGCCGTCCACATCGCAACCGTCCGATCAGGCTCGTCGGCGACGAGAACGTAGGAACGGCGAAACACTTCGAGTACTTGTTCTACGTGGATTTTGAAGCTTCAATGGCGGACGTTAGGGCACAGAATGCATTGGCCGAGGTTCAGGAATTTACATCATTCCTCAGGGTGTTGGGTAGCTATCCCATGGACATGACCCCTTGGTCCCCTTCTTCTCAATGATTTATTTATGACGTCATTTTTTTTCGTATGTTTAGTTTTAATTAAAATTGCCTATTTTTCGGAAATAAAAAATAGGCAATGTTTGAGTAAATATGGTGGATAGTCATCAAGCCAAGTTGAGAACAAGTGATGGTTAATAATTCCAAATTTCTGAAATATATGTAAACAAACTTGTATGTTTTATTGGTTTTTAATCTTATTCAAATCTCAATTTATTATATTATATTATATTTATTAGCTAAATAATGCGTGCATGTTGTTGAGTTCACCTACCACTACTCCACTACTAATAGTCTAATCAAGGTTCTAAAAAGCTCGACATGGCTCCGCCATGGCGTGCCATGGCTCCAAGGCTCGCATCTGCCGCCAAGCTTTCCCAAAACGTCGCTTTAACTCATATATGTGTATAAAAATGAATAATAGTTGAAAATACATATAAAAATATTAATTATATAGAAAATTGACGCCTTAAGTCGCGCCTTACAAACTTCGTAGCTCGCCAAGGCTCGAAAAAGCTTGAGGCTTGACATTGCCGCCAAGCCACGCCTTACGTTATTTAGAACCTTGAGTCTAATACGTCATTCAAATGCGATTTTGTCATTAGTGGTGTATTGTATTCCAACAGTTAATTAATAGATACATATTGATTATATATATAAAATTAAATTAAATAAAGCATAGACAGACGAACATACATGTTAGTATACGAGGTAATGTTAAAATATATTAAAAAGCTCGTAAAAGTAAAATTATAGAAGATTGGGTAAATGATATTATAGCCCTACAATGTTTTATATATTTGTTCATGACTTCCAACCACTTTCTTGATGAATTCCTTCCTTTCATAGTTACCCTTCACACTCATCTTCCTAAAAATATAGGTATTCTGAAAACGTCAACACAAAGTTGGTGAATTCACAGACTTTATAGTTTTCTATTTTATCCTTTTATTTGATCTAAAACAATTTTTGTTTTAAAAACATTTCTTTCCTTTAGGATATATTACATATCCTAAATATTTATAATCTTTAGCGAATCATACAACTACTTGAAGGCGTCCCTCTAGGCAGTTTAAATTAAGGTTTATGGACAATACTATAATGAGCCCATATAATCGACGCTATGGGCCGATATATGCCCCATACAACGCTTCATCGGATGTCGAATAATACTTTTATAGTTTTATATCTTAAGAAAGTTATCCTACCGGGATTGTAGCTAGCAATCGTAGGTGGGGGTGTCAGCCCCGTATTGATCTATACATATCTTTATGTCTCTCGCAGGATTAACGATTATAGGACCACTGTAACCTCCCAAAATACGAAGGTAAAAATTTCATTTTTAAAACAACCAAAACACCCATTTATCATTTACTCAAACACTTAAAAATATTTTATAATAAAAACAGTTATCAGAGTACAATCCCAAAATCACACAATTGCGGAAAAGCATGGGTGTATGCGTTGCGATCAAGCCGGGTCATTCCCTTTCGAACCGGAAGTACCTAAAACGTAAACAACAATTGTAAGCACAAAGCTTAGTGAGTTCCCCAAATACCACATACCATACATAACATACGAGTCATATTAATCAAACATGCAATATAAGGTACTATGTGTCAACCATAGTCTTGCTATTATGCCACGAGCCATATCATGGTCTTTTTTTTTTGGAAAGGGAACTTCCCTAACGAGGGTTTCCGGGCCAGCTATATCATGGTCTTTCCTTGTCAAGTCGGGGACCAAACCCTGGGTCTTACAGACAAGTGCCAGGAGCCACCTCCTGGTCTTCCATGCAAGCATCACAAAGACAACTAGCATACAATCTACACTACATATCTACTTAACTGCCAGAGTCCAAACTCTGCTCTTGCGTACAGATTTTCCAGGAGCCACCTCCTGGTCTTTCATACAAATGTCAAGGGCCACCGCCTGGTCTTCCTATAATACATAAACCAAATGGGCCAACTTTGGTGCCTTCGACCCATAGTACAGTGAGGAGACTCACCTAAACAGTTGAACCCACGAACAAAACTCTGCCTGCAGATCAGCTAAAATCAACGCGCTATCAAATATCAACATGACAAACCATTAATAACTAGCTCTTGACTCAGACTATGAGTCCAAATTAGGGTAAAAGACCTTTTTACCTTTCCTCCAACTTGGCCCAAGGCGAAGGCCCAAACCATATGTCCAAAAGCCCAAATCTAAAATAAGCATCTAAGGCACAAATAGGGCCCAATTTTCCAAATTTGCGCCCAATTCCTTTCATGGGCCTTCACGCATGAAAGTCTAATAAAGCCACAAAAGCCCAACCATAAAATCCAAATAGCCTAACATGGCTCAAGACAACCAAGCCCAAAACCGAAGCCCAAAACGGAGAAGTCCAAGCCCGCTAAGTACGTGGGGCATACTCAAGCGTATTGCATGAAAGGCTTGTACGTGCAGTGTACAAACTTGTACGCCCAGCATACTCACCGGCCATGGCAAACTTTCCAAATCAACTCTTAATCCATTAAGACTTTGATCCCAACTCGGATCTGACTTCCCCAAGGTGTTTAATCACATAAAGTTGCCAACTTTTATGTGTATGCATGGCTAAATGGGACTCTAGAGCTCAAAGGAGCTTAATACTTGACTTAATACATGCATGGGACCAAAACCACCATAAAGTTTGCACCTTTATGCCCAAGGAACCCATAAAATATCCAGATCTTCAAAGACAAGCTCCAAAATGACCTTAACTCCCAATCACCAACCAAAAGGACCAAAATGACCAAAAATGAGCTAAGAAGTAGATCCATGAAATGAAATGGCAAGGTTTGAACTTTATACCTTCCAAGCCACCAAAATAAGATGTTAATGTTGGATCTTAAAGCCTTCCTCCAAAGAAAAAGTCTTCGAGCTTCTTCTTTTTCTTCTAGATCGAAAAAACCCTCCACAAACACCTCAGAAGAGCTCAAGATCACCAAACATGGGCTAAGGGACGAATTAGGGTTTTTAGGGTATGGAGGCTGGCTAGGAAATGATCAAAAAAGGATAACATAAGGCTTATATAGGGTACACTAGAAAAATTAGGGTTTCCTCACTTCACCCTCGTACGCCGAGCGTACGAGGCCTCGCACTCACGATCCACGCTTCGCAGTACGCTAAGCATACACCACATTACGCCTCGCGTGCTAACCTCTGTAGCAGTACGCCCCGCGTACTCCCAAGGTACGCCTCGCGTACTAGGGTTCCCTCTTAAACCCTAAAACACTACGAAGGTCATACCTTCTTTGTTACAAATCCGATTCCAACAATCCTTATGTCCATGAAAAGATAACGAGAAGCTCTACACTTTTATAAACTCATACTTGCCATAAAATTTCCCGAACAAAACCCAATTTCCATAAAAGCCCACTGCCATTTTACCAAAATACCCCTTGGTTCTAAAACCAAGTCCGAACGCCCAAATCATCTACATTACATCACCCACACTCAAATGGGTAACGATTCGGGAAAGGGCGTTACAACTCTCCCCCACTTAGATTAAATTCCGTTCTTAAAACTGTTACTTACCATTCCAGCACACCATACAGCTTGAACAACACAATCACAACCCCTACGCGTACCATAGCCTTCCCAAAGCCAACCGAACCCAACCCTAGTAGACTCTCCAAACCCAATGAAGAACGAATCCTTAATCCCATGCAGAAAACCACTTCTACCTTCCTCGAAACCTGAAATCTCAAATTGGTATGACTCCCTGATAGACCGCCCACACTGAACCACTACCATGCCAAATCCTCATTGAATTCCAGAACAAACAAAACGCTTCCAACCCTGTATTATCTTGATGCTTTCAGTGGGAAGAAAATCACTGACCATATACTGCTGCAGAATTCTCATACTTGACAGAAGGCTTAGATAATCCTTCGAGTAGAAGATTCATCTCTAAAACAGTTAGACTCAAACGGGAGCTGCGCAACAGGGTCAAATCAATTACTCTGAGGTTATTTAATCCAAAATGCAAGTGACTTAGCATATTCCCCAAATAACAAACGACTCCACACACGAATCCCAAATCACTAATACCACCCCGACTCATCTTGTTTCCCCCTAGCTACTTTCCAAAAGCATCTGAGACCTCCCTGGTCCCAACTTGTTACCAACTAACTGAAACACCAGATTCCCGTCCGGTTGCTTAGTCAAAAGACACACACACAGTCGCCCCACTCGACTTCCGAAAGAAAGCCACATCTGCAATAATTGCCCAAGCTATCTCGCCACCAAATCCAATGCTAAAAGTGAATGCTACATGACCAATTGTAGTCATATATCATGTCCGACCTCCAACGACCTACAACTTCCTGATTCCAAGCATGTTGTGGCCCTCCCACATTCTTACGAACTGACCCACCCTGGTCTAATCCATCTAAAGAAATCCATGACTAATCATGGATTTGCCACACCCTTATCGCTGCACACGGACCAGCGAATGCTACGGGTCACCCCGCAGTCTTAGATCACTCCCACACTTACTACCAAATAGTGAATGGTACGGGTCACCCTCGCAGTCTTACAACACTCGTATTTTGCCATGGCCATCACTCATGGTCTTACCATTCATCTATCATTCCATCCATACACATCCAGAGTCGAACATGCACCCAACCAAGCGCCCAAGATGGGCTCGAGTCATGTCTGGAACCCCAACCTGTTTCTACCAAAAGCCTGTTATCCATTACCAAGAAGGCGTTAACCAACTGCTGGGAAGTTTCTTGAACTCCCAAATCAGACAATCCTCAATCCAGACGGCCACTTGGGTCGCCTTCCTCCCCGACGGGGATGTGAAACTCATCCTAGTTTCACGCCTAATTCCGCTCCCGGAAATCTGAACGGTTATCCCCCACTTTGATTCGAAGAAGCCCTCCCAGCACACAAGGTTTGAAGGATTCCCAATCCATCTTACCCCTTATGATTGAACCGCTGACAACTTGCGCTTACCGATGCTAGTGT